AAGGTAAACAAACAGAGCTCCTCGAGTCTCCATCTATAACACGGGTAAGATTTTTTGGCTCCCAAGGACAGCATTATATCGGGGTAAAGGTGTATCATAATGCAACTATATAAATACATGGTACCCCCAGATCTTGAATGCTGCATGTGATTCTGGTTGCCCCATCTCAAAAAAGATATATTAGAATTGGAACAGGTACAGAGAAAGGCAAGAAAAATGATTAGGGGTATGGAACAGCATCCTTGTGAGGAGAAATTAAGAAGACTGGGACTGTTCAGTTTAGAAAAAAGATTACTAAAGTGGGGATATGATAGAGGTATATAAAAATCATGAATGGTGTGGAGAAAAATGAATAGAGATGTATTATTTACCCCTTCACATAACACTAGATCCAGAGGTCACCCAGTGAAATTAACAGGCAGCAGATTTAATACAAAACATAAGAAAGTATTTATTCACACAATGCACAGTCAACCTGTGGAACATGTTTGTGAAGACCAAAAGTATAATTTGGTTCAAAAAAGAATTACATAAGTTCATAGATGATAGAGTATGTCAATGGCTATTAGTCAGGATGGTCAGGGATGCAATCCCATGCTCTGGGTGTCCCTAAACCTCCCACTGCCAAAAGCTGGGACTGGTGGACTGGGGAAGGATCACTCAATAACTGCTCTGTTCTGTTCTTTCACTCTGAAGCATCTCACTGGTCACTATCAGAAGACAGGATACTGGGCTAGCTGGACCATTGGTCTGATCCAGTATAGCCAGTTTTATATTCTTAATCTGGAAGCTATTTGAATTTAATAGCAGGCACCATTTTGATAGCTACTAGGACTTAATGTTTGGCACAGTTCTTCAGATGCTAAAAGAAAGTTAGAAATGTGTTAGCGAGACAATGTGTTAACGAAGACTTCTACATACTAGGAAACTACCTAAAAATAACTATGTTTTGTGGTAAGGCGGGGCCCAAGCTGTACAATACAGTCTGAATTCTGAACTCTTACAAAGGTGTTCGTTCCTGTCTCTAAACTGTAGCAGTGATCAAATAATAATAATAATTTAAAAAATTGCATCTAAACTAGGGATGAGCAAACTAAGACAGAGAATACAATTGTTCTGAACAAAAATAATTGTCCACTAGAACCAGAAATTGAATTGCCAAAATACCACAAGAAAAATCTCATGTTATTTATGGTCTGACTAGAAGCAGACAATGTTAGAAATCTTGTGGGAGTGTCTGTTTTTGCCAGTTTTCCTCTCTGATTTTGCAGACTCAAAGGGTAAACTCCTGGCCCCACTGAACTCAATGGGAATTCTACCTTTGACTTCAGTGAGGCCAGGATTTTATCCCAGAGGTTCAGATAGCTTGAATAAACACTCATGCTTTTGGGTGCTTATTAGAATGGAACTGCTAAAAGTTTTAGAGCATCTCCCATCACGAACCTAAACTTGCTTTCAATTCTAGGGGCCAAATTCACTGCTGACATAGGTTGGTGCAACTTCACAGAGGTGAATTGTGTATCGGAAGAGCAAAAAAGGTCTGGAAGCTTCATATTTAATGTTCCTTTTGTTTGTTTTAAACCTGCTGCCTATTAATTTCATTTGGTGACCCCATTTCTTGTGTTATGAGAAGGCACAAATAACTCGTCCTTATTGACTTTCTCCACACTCGGCATGATTTTATAGACATCTATCATAACCCCTCTTAGTCATCTCTTTTCCAAGCTGAGAAGTCCTAGTCTTATCAATTTCTCCTCATATGGAAGCTGTTCCATACCTCTAATAATTTTTGTTGCCCTTTTCTGAACCTTTTCCAATTCCAATATATGTTTTTTGAGATGGGGTGACCACATCTGCATGCAGTATTCAAGATGTGGGCGTACCATTGATTTATATAGAGACAATATGATATTTTCTGTCTTATTATCTATCCCTTTCTCAATGATTCACAACATTCTTTTAGCTTTTTTTTTTTTTTTTTTTTTTTTTTAAATTGCTGCTCACATTGAGTGGATGTTTTCAGAGAACTATCCACTATGACTTCAAGATGTCCCTTGAGTGGTGACAGCTAATTTAGATCCCATAATTTTATATGTATAGATGGGATTATGTTTGCCAATGTGCATTTATCGACGTTGAATGTCATCTGCCATTTTGTTGCCCAGTAACCCAATTTTGTGAGATCCCTTTGTAACTCTACACAGTCTGCTTTGGACTTAACTATCTTGAGTAGTTTTATATCATCTGCAAATTTTGCCACCTCACTGTTTACCCCTATTTCCAGATCATTTATGAATATGTTGAACAGTACTGGTCCCAGTACAGACCCCTGGGGGACACTACTATTTACCTCTCTCCATTCTGAGAATGGATCATTTACTCCTACCCTTTGCTTCCTGTCTTTTAACCATGACCCATGAGAGGACCTTCCCTCTTATCCCATGACTGATAGGTTACAAACCACAGTTAGTAGTTCTGCAATGTCACATTTGAGTTCCTTTAGAACCCTTGGGTAAATACCATCTGGTCCTGGTGACTTATTACTGTTTAATTTACCAATTTGTTCCAAACCTCCTCTAATGACACCTTTATCTGGGCCAGTTCATCAGATTTGTCATCTAAAAAGAATGGCTCAGGTTTGGGAATAGGGTGACCAAATGTCCCGATTTTATAGGGACAGTCCCGATTTTTGGATCTTTTTCTTATATAGGCGCCTATTACCCCCCACCCCCCGTCCCGATTTTTCACACTTGCTGTCTGGTCACCCTATTTGGGAATCTCCCTCACATCCTCAGCCATGAAGACCGATGCAAATAATTCATTTAGTTTCTCTGCAATGGCCTTATTGTCCTTGAGTGCTCCTTTAGCATCTCAATCATCTAGTGTCCCCACTCGTTGTTTAACAGGCTTCTTGCTTCTGATGTACTTAAATTTTTTTTTGCTATTACTTTCAGTCTTTGGCTAGCTGTTCTTCAAATTCTTTTTTGGCCATCCTAATTATATTTTTACACTTCATTTGCCAGAGTTTGTGCTCCTTTCTATTTTCCTCACTAGGATTTAACTTCCACTTTTTAAATGCCTTTTTGTCTCTCACTGCTTTTTACTTTGTTGTTTAGCCACAGTGGCACTTTTTTGGTTCTCTTACTATGTTTTTTAATTTGGGGTATACAGCTTGCAGGGATTTCACTTTTAGCACTGTACCTTTTAATTTCTGTTTAACTAACTTCCTCATTTTTGTGTAGTCCCCCTTTCTGAAATTAAATGCTACTGTGTTGGGCTGCTGTGATGTTAAATTTAATTATATTATGGTAACTATTACCATTTCAAAATACTTAGCGGCTGTTCAACATATATGAAAACATCATCAACCATCACTTTACCTTTTAAAGATGGAGAAATACTCTGTATACACTTATTCTGGGCTGAAAGCTTTTTTCCTTTATAAAATGTCTATGTAATCACCTTCTCTGATCCAAACTCTTACTATCTACAGTACAGGCACGTAGTAGGCCAAGATTTTCAAAACTGACTTGTGATTTTTCTTGCTCCAATTTTTGGGGGCCCTATTTGAGACACTTTGAAGAGGCCTGATTTTCAGAAAGTGCTGAGCACCCACTTTCCGGGGAGTCGGGGCGGGGTGGGAAAATGCCACAGCTGGAACATACAAGAGGAGAGTCCATGCTATGCAGTCCCATATTTATGGTGCTCATATAAATCAGACCCTCTTCTAAAATAAGACTTTCCAAATGTAAACAACCAGGTGTTAGTGTAGTTAAAGTTCTCTTTAGAAGAATGCATTCCATCTTATGCAGCAGACTACTGATATAGCAAGACATCAAAGGTGCAATTTACCCCAATGCACAGGGCCAGCACAAGACTCATGTATCTACTTGAAATGCCAACAAACAGCGTTTACACTGCCTGACTTTTAGTGACACGGCTGTGTCGCTAAAACCTATGTAGTGTAGACAAAGCCTTAGACTGGAAGGGATGTAACTCCATGACCTTGTGTCCCTAAGCCTTGGACTGCCAGATGCTGGGGCTGGATGACAGGGGATGAATCACTTGGTAATTGCCCCGTTCTCTTCATTCCTGCTGAAGCATGTGACATTGGCCACTGTCAGAAGAGAGATACTGGGCTAAATGGATCATTGGTCTGACCCAGTATGGCCATTCTTATGTTCTTCAAGCTTTTTGCAGCAGGGACTGTCTTTTTGTTCTGTGTATACAGTGCCTGGCACAATGGGCTCTTCATCCATGACTAGGGCTTTTAGATGCTACGATAATACTAATAATTAATAAGAAAACATCTTTTAACCCTTAAAACACATCTTGGAAATGATGATGGCTGAATTTGAGTTTTGCTAGTACAACTGAACTGTGAAGCTAAAAAATAAATGACATGTTTCAGAGGGGCAGCCATATTAGTCTGTATCAGCAAAAATAATGAGGAGTCCTTGTGGCTTTTTTTTTATTTATTTATATAAACATACACAAAGGTAAATCCCACTTCTAATAACAGAAGTTGGACACTGAGCTGCACTAATATACTCAGTACAGTTTTCAAGAATACCAACATTTCCAGCACAGGGCAATTTAACACCAGTTTGATTGAATGAAGCTGTCTCTTTCCTTGGTTGTGGTTACAAGCTAGCATTTTTGTTTAAATGGGAAAAAGCCCCTTCACTCCTACTGGGGTACTAGCAGCGGGAGGACAGCTGGGGCAGTTGTTCCATGCAGTAGGTCTGTGCACGGCCATCCTCCTCTGCTTAGCCAGCCTGCTGGCTTCCTCTTCCTGAGGGCACTATTGTGCTGAGCTATTGCTCAGCATCAGTCCACATTGGCCATCCTTAGGAGTTGCTCAAGTTTCTGCCTCTTTGTTAGTTCAGTTGCTGCTGCTGCAGCAGCTCCTCTTCAGGGACTCTTCCCACCCCCATGGCTGTGTATCCTTATCTTCATCCCCACACTCCCACTGACCGCTTTATAATGGTGGTTTCTCCTGGGACTTAACCGCCTTTTCTCTTCCTCGCCTGCCTAATTACCCACCCCAACAGAGATAGCTCCACCTAAGCTCCCCCCACTCTGGAGTAGCCCCAGAGTTCTGGGACCCCTTCCTCCATGCCGACAGCTCCATCCTTTGGCCCTCCCCCTCCCCACAGGCAGTCAAATGTATATAGGAGGGAGTGGAGGAGAGAGAGTATGGGGTAGGTGAGAAGGAAAGGATAAAAACAACAACAACAACAACACTACTTAGCTCTTATTAGCACTTTTCATCTTCAGAACTCAATGCATTTTACAAAGGAGGAAAATATCATTACACCCATTTTACAGATGGGGAAACTGAGGCACAGTGAGCTGAAGTGACTTGCCCAAGATCACCCAGCAGGCCAGTGGTCTCTTGAGTTCCAGTCTAGTGCTCTGGCCAGGAGGCCACAGTCTCCCCTATGTGAGACTGAGTGAATGGGTAGCTGAAGGTGGTAGTGGGAGACAATAAATGGATGTGGGGATAGAGAGCCCTTGGTGGAAAGCACAAGACGGAGGAGATAATGGAGAACAAGCCTAACTCCAACAAACCCTGGTTGTTGGCAGCTGGGAAATCAAACCTTGGACTTTGGGAGCTTAATGCATGAGCCTCCTACTTGAGCTAGGAGATGCAGCTCGCTTAGACAAGGCTGTAGCAGACTTATCAAGCTCTAGCTGGTTTAGTTGCCACTAAAGGGTGGCAGAGGGTGACAGAGTGCTACACCAAGCAGGCATGGATTATACAAGCAGACCTGAAAGTGATTAAGGGGAAAATATATTTTATAATAATTAATAATTAATAATAATAATAATGCAGAAAACTCAGGAGAAAGAAAAAAGAGCAAGAAATTAGGTAAGACTTGAAGAGAAACCACAGATGATGAGATGGGTCCCTACAATAGGTGCAGGTGGCCACAACACTATGGGACAACTAAGGTAATAGATGCATCAAGGTTCCCTATTTTGGTCTCTTTTCTTGGGTTCTCTAGGTCCTGTCTGCTGCCTGACCCTACGCTCTGCAACCTTCATGGCGTGTATCACGGGCTAAGTGGGGAGTGTTTTTTATGGGAGCTACTCATAAATATACAAGTAGCACATTAGTGTTAAGCATCTTTCTAAATCAGGTTTTAATCATTATTTTGCAATGGTTAGAAAACACGGGCAAGCTACCAAGAACAGTCCTTGATTGAATACAAGTTGAAAACTTTTTAGTACTTTTCCTTGTGAAATACTCACCATCACTCATTTAAAAACAAGCTCTGCTTCAACCCATGGAAGCCCAAATTGATATTTCAAAATAAGTTCTGAGAACAATAGAGCTGGCAACCTACAGTCTGCCTTACTGATATTCTATTAGGGAATAATAATCAGACTAATAGAAACTGGTCACATATTAGGCACTTGATATTTTAGCAGGCAAAACACTGGCAACTGTGAACTTTAGGAATAGATGGTTATATTTACAATGGCTGCCTAAAGCAAAATAGGAAAAATACAGTAGCTGTTTTAGTTTACTAAAACAAAAGTTGACATCTGATGGTAAAACTCTGAATAGACACTGATAGACTGAAAATATGGGAAACTCAGGGGCATTTGTGCTATTGCATGTTCAAATCAGGTATTTTCACAAATAGCTGAATACTAAGATACCTGACTGGCTATTTGCATCTGCAAATATCCAAACTTTTATCCTGTAACTGCGCAGGTAATTTAGGCATGTACTTTTTTGTATGTGCAAGTCCCTGGGTTCTTGCTTGAGTCACTCAGAGACAGAAGAAAAGACGCATATAGGAGGCCTAAGTGGCTGCAGCACTGGCCTAGTACTCAGGAGACCTGGGTTCTAGGTCTAGCTCTGCTAGTGGTTTACTGGGGACTTGGGTAAGTCAATTTACCACCCCACACCTCAGTCTCCCCATCTGTAAAATGGGAATAATGATTGTTTTCACCTCCTATTTGTTAATAGTTTTTATTGTTACCCCAGAGTGAGCTGGCTAGGTCAGATAACAGGATGCTATGCCACAGGAGACTGCAGTAGACATGTTTCCTTCCCAGTGCTGGCAGACACACAGCCTCCTATCTCTTCACATGCCCTCTGTGGGTAGAAAGCCACATTAACCTTGGTCTGGCTGGTTCATTCTGGCTGCAGCTAGTTGGCTCGGGTGGCAGGGGCTGTGCTGGAAACCATGGCTGCTAGTTGCAGGTGAATGGTACAGTTGGTAAGTGCTGCTGCTGAGACTCTGCTTTTTGGTCCGGAGCAGCTAAATGGAAGAGTTTACTAGTTCTTAAAGCAAAGCAAGCTCAGTCGAAAGCAGGCACAAATGGGCTTGAGACTTTGCTGAGTAATTAACCACATTTGTGCGCAAATGTAGCTTCAGCACACACTTGGGTGGAAGTGCAAAAACCTTGCACTTCCTGCTGTATACTGCATGAGGACTTGTAGAATTAAGGTCTTCAACTGTAAGGAAGTCTCTGTACTACATGTTTTTTTAAACACACATTTTTTTAAAAACATAGGGTCAATTCATTTGGGTTCCACAGCAACTTTGACATTAAGCGTGGCTGACATGGCAAATGGGGTGGTCAAGCCTATTCCCCCCCACACACACACTGAATTGTAGGCTCAGGAATAAACTACACAGAGCTGGGAGAAAGAGAAAGGAAGGTACCAGAAAGCTGAAGGAAGGAAGGCCTTCTTCCTTCGTTCTTTTATTAGTCTCCATTCATCCATCCTCGCTCAGCTAAGAATGGCTGCTCCCTGTCTTAGCCTGCTGCTCAGGCTGAAAGTACCTGTCAGCCCACTTGACTGCCTTTGCCCTCACTAGACAGGTAAACTCTCCACTCCTATGACTCAGCTACAGCAGATAGAGGTGAAGCAGGCACAAGGACCTTGTGCTCTAATGTCATTGAGGAAGGGAGCTGTTTTTACTGCAGCTTTTTATCTGCCTCCACCTCATTTGAGTCTCCCCCACCTACCCTTTCACTTGGATTTCTCCCTCCCACAACACCACTATCTTCACCCGCAGGGGGTTGCCCTACTTTATCTCCCGTTGGCCTGTCCTCTTGGTGGTGTTCACTGATCACTCAGAGCAAAGGAGTCTGACAACAGTCTGCTTTGTTCAGTGTCTGAGTTCTAACTGAGCAGCATGGCATGACGTGAGCCTTTGCATAACAATCAATTTCAACTAGCTCTCACCAGAGTCTCCTCAAAGGTACAGTTTCCCACACTCCTCACATTGCCACTATACTACTTGTCTGAAAGCAACTTGTTGGGCATGAGGGGGAAATAAAAGGAACATTTGGTAGTGAGGGGACTATAGGAGAAAGGGTGGATACAGAAAATAGAAGGCAAGACACTTTAATTTAAGACAGAGGAAAGTAAAACTGAGCAAGATATAAAAAAGCATGAAAGAATGAACAGCACCTAAAAGGTGATACATACGGTAATTTTAATTTTTTTTAAATGAAATTGTCCTTCCAAAATGTTGTTTACATAAACAATTACGTATGTGTGTTCTGTTCATACACGCACAGGGTAGGATATGTTGCGTGCCAGTCACAGCTATTTTCCTGATCTCATGTCACATCCTTGTAAATGGACTAGCATTCTGACTTTTAGTAGATGTCACCTCCTTAAGTCACAAAAAGAGGGGTACAGCAGCTATCTAGATTTTCACCTCTTTCCTGATAGGTTGTGTATCGATATACCCATAAGCAGTTGGTTGTATATTTATTTACCTGTGGCTTGAGTATGTATTTTCTATTTCATGGCAGTACATCGGAAGTGTGATATTTGTCAGCCACTACAAGTTGTCAGTCATGTTCGCAGTTGATTGACCAGAAGAACAGCTACAAGAAATGAGAGAGACAAAGAAAAGGAAACTTATGAGATTTCCACTCAGAGATTTAGTTAGACTTTTCTGTAATCCTCATCTGACCACTTCCTTCCATCTGCAGGTTAGCTGGAAGTGACACACTAAAAACCTTTAACAGCTGTGTATAAACAAACAAGGATATTATTTCACACAATGAGATTTAATAGTTTAACAAAAATCTAATTTTAAGTGCCTGTCAGTTTAATTTTGGTTCTATTAACAGAAATGTTCATGTTGATATACAGATAGGACATACACTTTTAGGAGTAGCTGAAAAAGGCTTTGATTCTCCAGTTACTGCAATGGCATCCTGTGCACATGCAAGAGTACATCCAGATGCATGTCACTGTAGGATCAGTGTCCATGTAAATCCTAATATGTGCCAGGAATCAGATTCTTCTGTCAAGGCATTTCCAGCTGTTAAGGAGCAAAGTCTATTATTTGTTTTTTTTAATTCAAAATGCTTAATTATATCACAGAAATATTGGGGCTGTGGTAAAATTTTACAAGGCCTGTGTCCATAACAGAAAAATTGATTTTCAGAAATACAGTATAAGATGGGTCTGCTTAGAACACACTATGCAGTAAGACCATTTTTAAGAATAGGAGACCTCCTTCATTAAGAGGTTTTTTTACTCAATAGGCTGACCTAGAAATGATCAATGAAGCAGAAACTTGGTTCTGACGAAGAAAAACCCTCTGGAATGACTCTTCATTGAGAAGGGATGGTGACCTCTCAAACCATTGTATGGTGTCAGTGCTTAGTTTGTAATGAAAGAGGTGCTGGGGCTCAAGCAATTTTTTAACTTCCATAACGGATGCAGCAAGCGCAGAGATGCTGGGGCTTGCTCCACCTGAATTGCCAAGCCTAGAGATGCCGGGACTTAGCCCTGGCAAGCCCTGGCACAAATTAAGCACTGTATAGAGTGGATTGTTAAGTTTTTATCTTAAATTACAATGTGGAAACTAATTACCATGTTTAGGTTTTTGGAGTCCTGAGGTGTCCTCTCGGGGACAAGGGCCTTCCCACACAAATCTGATTGTGGTATATGCTACTGCAGTACAAAAAGCAGGGAAAGGCAACACAGTCTAGCTACCTCAGGAGCAGCTACGCTCATGTTACTTTCACAATATTTTTCATTTTTTCCCCCTTTTGTCTATCTGCCATTCCCCCATGGTACTTATCACACCCCTCTTCAGCCTCACAGCATCCATCCTCTTCCTCCATCCCTCTCCCATTCTCTCTCCTCCCCACCCCCGGCTCCATTTTACCCTCCTCTCTACAGTTCTCACCATCTCCACCTGCTCCTGTCCCCCTCCATTCCAATCTCCCCTCTGCGCTCATCAGCACAAATCCAGATCTTACATCCAACCTTCCTCGCCTGTGGTGACATTTACCTCAACCGAGGCCCTTCTTCCATCCCCACCCTCTCCACCTCCCACACCCATCCCCACCACCACTTCTCCCTCTCTTGCGCCTTCATTTATAACCATATGCCCACCCTCCTCCTTCCCCCATCCCAGCTTCCCTTCTGTTATTGTCTCTGGAATGCCCAATATATCTCTAAAAAGATCATAACCACCTATAACTTCTTCATATCTCAATCTCAGCTCTCTCCCCCCCCCTTTGTCTGACCCTGCCTCTACCTACCTGCTAATTACAGCTCCAATCCTATTTAGACAAAGCTTTCATTGCTTTTAAAGCTCCCCAAGCTTGAATACAGATATCAGGATTGATCATAATGTCTCAAGGAACTATTTGGAGACTAAAAGCTTCTACCACCTCTCAGAACAGGAAAACTTAGAAAGAAAACTATTAACCTAAGATTACTGGAAATAAACAAGTCATTTGAATTTGAGAACAAATTCTGCTCCTAAAAGTTCACTGCATGCATGCAAACAAATGAGTGATGTTCTTTGTGACCAGTCTCATTCTCTTTATATTCAGAGTCATTGGGGAGGGGGAGCATTCCCTAAGCATCAGAAATAAACCAAAGTGAAACTGGTGTTCTATGAAAATGTATTGTATGTGAACTTCATTGCCTTACAAGGGGAAAAAAAAAAAATCAAAGCCTTAATAGAGATAGGCAGCAGTTGGTACCTGTATGCAGACTGGTAGGTAATTAAAGCATGTGCCTAACAACAGCCCTTGCAAAGTTCTTAACGAGACAATGTACATTTTGAACACACTAAATTTCAAGAGTACCTGGCGTAGAGATTTTGGTTTGTCTCATTATAAAGATAGTGGTTGCTAGCAAAAATTAAATCTGATTGCCAGTTATTATTCAGAACCCCACAAAGTTTGGGGTATCCACAGTCATGGTTTTGGTGCAGGCTCAACTTTACTTCTCAGCTAAGAAATGAAAGATTGCCATGGATGCTAGGATAGCTACTTATCAAAGCTAGGTGCAGTTATTGTTTAAATAATTTCTTTTCTGTTTAAAACCTGCAGTTTTCATGGTTAAGTCACGACATTTTTGTGGTAGAATCTCCGTTACCTCAGCAAACCTATTTTCCTTCTAGCAGGGGAGCTGATTTTTTTTTTCATATTTGTCCTCTCTCTTTCCTGCTGTATTCCAAGATCAGCTTCCTTCAGATGCTCAGATTGTGTGGGCTGTTGCTTTAGCGGACTCAGAAATTCTCTGACCCTGCACAAGACTCTCAGAATCTTCCATTTAATCTACTATGGTGTATTTACTTGCTTGCTTTCCCCACTCCTTGCTCCTGCACTCCCTTTCTACTTCCACCCATCTTGGACCTTCCAAGCCTCCAAATCTCTAGTTGTATCCCCTCCCTCATTTCCCTCTCTTTGATCATCTCTCCTTCTCCAACTTCATCCTTAGTGGTTTCTTCACTGTCTGCTCAACCTTTATTCTTTAACTTCAGTCTTGATTCTCATATACTCATCAGTCCTCTTATTATTAATTCTTTCTTCTTCTTCCCCACTTCCCTTGTCCTCTGCTAGACTTTGAGAATATAATTCAATCACTTAAGTAAATTATGTCCTTTTTTGATCTCTTCTGTCCTTTCCCTGTCCCTGCGCTGCTGACATGGTAACCAATTCCTTGACCTCTGGGGCAAACTCTCTGAAACAGACCACTGTCCTAAAATATCCCTGTCTGGCCTTGACCCTCATACTATTGCTTTCTCACTAGTCTTCCTTTTTTTTTTAAAAAGGAAAATTAAAGTGGAGGTGGGGGACAGAAGCAGTTTGCTGTCTCCTCAATAATGATTAATCAGCCAGCAATCTCCTTGGTGGTTTTCAGTCTGAGTTGCTGTCTTCCATATGGCTAATCTCAGAATGAAGGTAGAGCTAGGTGAATAACTGAGTAAAGCTGCAAATCTTCTTTCAGGTGAACACAAAATGACAATTTCAGTTTTTCCTCACTGAAATGTGTTGTTTGACTGAAACAAAATGTTTAAATTTCATTTTGGCTTTGGTTGTGTTTTTAATCCCCTTTTTTGTGGTTAAAAAATATAATTTGAAATTAAAAATTGAAATGTTCCATTTAGAAAATATTGAAATAAAGTGCTTTGATTTTTTGTAGACTTTTTCTTCCATTTTTTCCCCAGCCAGAACTATTGGCTGTATTTTCAACCCAAATTTGTGAACAGTTTCAGGCACCCACAGCTGTATTTTTTTTTAATCAGGGGGTTAGACTAGATGACCTCCTGAGGTCCCTTCTAACCTTAATAGTCTACGAATATTCCTTATTCCCTATGATTTCAGTGTAACCTTTCACCTTAATGAAATATGTTGGCTCAGCTTCTATTAGTCAAAATGTTCTCTCCTTCTCTGGTTGTTATTCCTTCTCTGAACTATGAAGCTTCCTCTATGGAGTTCTCATTTCTTGGCCCTCTGTTCTTTATTATCTGCCTTTTCTCTTAGTCATTTTCACCTGGGCTTTTAAGTTTACCTACTACTTTAATACTGCTTATCACAGGATACACTTACCCCTAGGATGGCTCCTCCTGGCTGCTCCGGGGATTAGTTCCTTCCAGGTCTGACGCCTGCTTCTGTCACTTGTTTGTGGGCCCTGCTACTTCTCTCTCAGTAGCTCAGCACTCTCTCTTTGTAGCTTGGACCTCTGGTCAGCTCACTGTATGTTTTCCCCTTGCCGGGGTTAATCAAAGTCTTTCCATCCAACATGGCAGTCTTCTCCCTCACTTCCCAGACTGTGCCACTTCCCCAGTGGCTAGTAGCCTCCCCCTACTCTGGGTTCCAGCTAAGGGACCCTCTAATCAGCAGCCGGTCATTTTCCTGAGGCTTTCCCTACTCTACCTCTCTCAGGCTTTTACTCTACCAGCCTTCTGAATAAACCTTTCCTTCAGAACCTGGATCACCTGGGGTTTATATTCTCCCCTGGGTTTCCTTGTCTAACAGCCAGAGCATGTCTACAAGCTCCCTCACTGCTGCCATTTTCTCCTGCCAACTTCCTGGCTTTAAACTAGCACTGCCTGTTCCTTCTCAGCTGTGCTCTATCATCAATCAGGGGGTTACTTAGGCCACCTAATTCCCCTCAGGTGTAGCCTATCTGCTTAATTGGCCACTCTCAGCCTCATTAACCCTTCCTAAGTAGGGTGACCATACATCCTGTTTTGTCAAAAGTGGGCATTTGTCAAAAAAGTGGGGCACGCACTCCTAGCGGGGCGCAAATGAGCATGCATGGGAGGGGGACAAGGGGCAGCCAGCCCTGAGAGGGAGGGGGAACAGATTTCAGGGAAGCAACAACAGCCAGCCACGTGGGAGAGAGGCAGGGTTCGGGTGAGCAGTGATGCCAGTCATGCGGGGGAGAGGCTGGACTCGGACAAGAGCCCTGCACGTGGGGGAGGCAGGGCTTGGGCCAGTGACTCAGGTAGGGGGAAGGGGGACTCGGGGGGACTCGGGTGGGCAGGGGACAATTGGCTTGGGCTAGCCCCGCGTGGTGTCCCATTTTCCCTTTGTGAAATACGGTTACTCTATTCCTAGGCGAGTGTGAAGTGAACACCCCATCACACTGCTTTTATACCCTATGCCTGTCCTGACCAAATAAACTTATCTCCTTTGAAAACATATCTTTTTTGTCATGCCCATTCTGTACTGTATCTTTTAAAGTAATAAATAAAAGCTGAGAGGATAGATTTCTGCTCTGTAGCTGTGTCATTTAACTCTGGAAAGCGTTTTGGTCATACAGTTTGTATAACTAAAATGACACAAAGTCATATTGTATTGTTCATCTGTGACACCTTGTAGATTACAAGGTTTCATGCTGTGCCATGGAAAAGGATAAGAGCATTTCAGAAGCTCACATTTTCCACTGACAGCTCATTCTGAATTCAAATGAGCCAATGTAGTGGTGACAATTTTATTTTTAACATTGAATCCAAATTAATTTTTTTTGTGGTAAAGGCAAAGCTTACACTAGCACTGAAGACCTATTGGTACATCCACTTCCTTCAGTTAGCACCCTGGTCGAACCACATCTACAGCTTCAGCATTTTTGTGGTTTTCTGAATTTGGCATATATCGGCATAGCTACAGCATGCATAGTGACAGCCTCTGTAACTCTGAAGATTTCATTAAAATGTACATAATTTGTTTTACAGACAGGAAACTGAAAATTCTCTGCAAGCAGATATGCTCTCATAAAACTAGATTTGCCAGTTGGGTACCAACTTGATTAGGAAGCAGGGCTGAGCTCCACCTCAGCAATGGCTGCACCTACACCTATGTACATTCCCTCACCATGCATAGAGTCTACAATTCTCCCTGGTTCTTGTGTTTCGCACAAGGAGCAATTCTAAAGCAATCCTCTGTTTCAGGTATGGATACATTGCCTGACTGAGATAAAATAAGAACTGATTGGATTCTTCACCCAGTCCTCAAAATAAGCAGAACTTATATCACTTTCAAAGTTAGTAAAAGTTTAGCTAATGTTCCCTCTCTGTCCTGCCTAAGGTATCTATCTATTCAGGTTCTTGTGTGGCTCCCATCGCCTTAGTATTGGATGTGGCATTGCTAAGGCCCTACCAAATTCACGGGCATGAAAAATGCATCACACACCCTGAAATCTGGTCTTTTGTGTGCTTTTAACCTATACTATACAGCAGGTATCGGCAACCTTTCAGAAGTGGTGTGCCGAGGCTTCATTTATTTGCTCTAATTTAAGGTTTTGCATGCCAGTAATACATTTTAACGTTTTTAGAAGGTCTCTTTCTATAAGTCTATAATATATATAACTAAACTATTGTTGTATGTAAAGTAAATAATGTTTTAAAATGTTTAAGAAGCTTCATTTAAAATTAAATTAAAATGCAGAGCCCCTTGGACCTTTGGCCAGGACCTGGGCAGTGTGAGTGCCACTGAAAATCAGCTCGCGTGCCGCCTCCGGCATGCGTGCCATAGGTTGCCTATCCCTGCTATACAGATTTCATGGGGGGAGACCAGCGTTTCTCAAATTGGGGGTCCTGACCCAAAAGGGAGTTGCAGGGGGGTCACAAGGTTATTTTAGGGGATCACAGTATTGCCACCCTTACTTCTGTGCTGACTTCAGAGCTGGGCAGCGTACCATATCATGCTACCCTTACTTCTGCACTGCTGCTGGCAGTGGCTCTGTCTTCAGAGCTGGTCTCCCAGCCAGCAGCCACTGCTGTCCGATCACCCAGCTCTGAAGGCAGCGCCACCACCAGCAGCAGTGCAGAAGTAAAGTAGCAATACTGTAATGCCCCCTACAATAACCTTTCAACCCCTCTTCCCACAACTCCTTTTTGGGTCAGGTCCTCTACAATTACAACACCATGAAATTTCAGATTTAAATCACTGAAATCACAAAATTTACCATTTAAAAAATACCATGACTTTGAAATTGACCAATATGGACCGTGAATTTGGTAAGGCCCTAGGCATTGCATAGAATGTGGAGGGAGGGGGAGGAAGAGAGATTACAATATAGTCATAGTTCTGTCCGTACTCACTCCCCATGTTTTCCAGTCATTCTTACTCCTTCCTCCATCTCACCTGCTCTTGTATCCTCTGTGCTGGGCCTTAACTGGCCAGGATATAAAAGAGTGTTCTCTGGTGAGAAAAACAGGAAAGGGATGAGCTGCTAAGAAATATGGAGACAGAAAGATGGAAAATAGAGCGGCTGCTGAATTTGTGTGTTGTGTTTGGTGAATAAATTATTGCAAATTAGTTTGAAGAGAACAATATGATGCTCTTGGCATTCTAATCTCATGCAGGAATTATGCACTATTATTTCTTTTCCTACCTAAATACCTAGATTCATTTTTCTCTAGGGCTGAGTTGTCACATTGCTATCCAGCCTAAGTAAGGAGCAGCACATAGTGACTCAGAGATTCACAATTTGTCCTCAGCTTTCCCCTTATTCCAGGGGCGGAGGAGGGGAAGTAAGCTGCATCAGTCTTCTTTCTAAGGGTACATCTACACTACAGGGGGGAGTCGATTTAAGATACGCAAATTCAGCTACGTGAATAGCGTAGCTGAATTCGACGTATCGCAGCCGACTTACCCCACTGTGAGGACGGCGGCAAAATTGACTTCTGCGGCTTTCTGTCGGCGGCGCTTACTCCCACCTCCGCTGGTGGAGTAAGAACGCCGATTCGGGGATCGATTGTCGCGTCCCGACGGGATGCGATAAATCGATCCCCGAGAGGTCGATTTCTACCCGCCGATTCAGGCGGGTAGTGTAGACCTAGCCTAATAGAGCTAACTTCCCCTTCCACAATGGTTCAGTTGTACTGGCTGGCACATTGGGGATGGGGCACAGAGCTCCATGTATTTCTTGCCCACCTGTGCTGCTCTCTTCCCTACACACAAAATAGCCATGAGGGTAACCTGTGCAAGGAAGTAACACATTATGGACACCTTTGAATTAGAGAATCTCTAAATAGCACTTGCTTACTGCAATGCTATGACAGATTGTTGTCAATGACTTCCCACTATACACAGAGAGGTACATATTTCAAATAACTATGAGCAAGAAGTAGACGACACTGGAGCAGTCTAGACATGAAAGGAGCAGCTGTAGGAATGACCTTTTTTGTGAAAACTCAGGCATAATTGGGTTTTAAAACAGATGTCTGATAGGATCACGTCACCACCAAGATGTAGTGAATGAGTGACACTGATCAGAGTATATAATTTTGGTAGATGTATCATAGTGTGTAATTTTGGTATTTTTACACTTCTATTCATGAATTCTAGACCCCATGACAGATAAATGACAGATAAATGGCTAAAAAGGCTTGCAAGCAAGACATCTTATTGCTCTTTCATTTGGATACAGTGAAATTGTTCCATTAGAACTCCACTAACATACAGCATTTACTTGGCATTAGCAGGGAAAAAAAGTTTTCTTCTTTGCTTAGGTTTCTTTTTGCCCAACCTCAGCGGTTATTTTTGCACAATCATATCTTGATTTTGTCATTCCCAGCTTGAGTCTGTTTTATGAGATATGGACAAATGTTCTTGCCATAAACAGGCCATGTGACACTCTGTATAATTCTTATCTATATCTCTCCAAGAGTCTTAGTGAACTACTTTGGAGCTATCCCCTACGCTGCAGAGCTCCCAAACCTGAAATTAAACAACCAGCTTTCTTTTGGTTTGGAGGTTCTTCTCCACCACTCTACTGTTCCTGTGGGCTCTGTTGGCATGAACAGGCAGAGTGTTTAGCTATATGCCGTCGGAGAGCAGGAGTTGAGTATATTTCACTAGTCTGCTTGCTCACAAGAGCAGAGCAGACATGTTTGTTGTAGTTGTATTATTATTGTGCACTTAATTTTTTTAAGGAGGAATCTGTGCTGATGGGTTAGCCAGCTGAGAAGCTGGGATGCTGACAATACTGTAGCCCTTGTTTTAAAGGATTGGTAGGTTTTTCAGAATTAGGACACTTAAAAATGCACCAAAGCATGAACCTGACAACTTCAGATATTGGCAATATTATACCAAATCCATCATTCCAAAACCTAGTCAAATTGGCTCCTAACTGAAAGTCATGGCTATAAATTAGCCTGCATAAAAAATATTTGGTGGTCTTAGTCTGTTAGGGGTGCCCACGTCACAAAAACTGTCATCTCAATTAGTATCAACCAGAACAGTTGGATGGTATTGCCAATATGGAGGCGGACCAGAATATCATACAAGAGTATCTGGATGACCTTGAAAACTGGAGTAATAGAAATGGGATGAAATTTAAAAGTGCAAGATTAGGGACTAACAACAATAATTTTTGCTATAAACCTGGCACTTAGTTGGAAGTGACAGAGGAGGAGAAAGACCTGGGTATATTGGTTGATCACAGGATGACTATGAACTGCCAATGTGATGTGGTTGTGAAAAAGATTAATGCACTCCTAGGATGCATTAGGCAAGGTATTTCCAGTAGAGATAGGGAAGTATCAGTACCATTATACAAGGCACTAGTGAGACCTCATCTGGGATACTGCATGAAGTTCTGGTCTCCCATGTTTAAGAAAGATGACTTCAAACTGGAACAGGTGCAGAGAAGAGCTACTAGGATGATCAGAAGAATAGAAACCTAACTTATGAGAGGAAACTCAAAGAGCTTGGCTTGTTTAGCTTAACCAAACAAAAGCTGAGGGGAGATATGATTGCTCTCTAAAAATACATCAGAAGGATAAATAACAAGGAGAGAGAGGAGTTGTTTAAGTTAAGTGCCAATGCTGACATAAGAACAAATGGATATAAACTAGCCATCAACAAATTTAAGCTTGATATTGGATGAAGTTTCTAACCACCAGAGGAGTAAAGTTCTAGAACAGCCTTCCAAGAGGAGCAGTGGGGGTAAAAAAACCTAACTTGATTCATGACTGAGCTTGATGAGTTTTGGGTATGATGAGACTGCCTACAAGGGCATGTAGCCAATCTGTCTCCTAGAACTGGAAGGGACCTTGAAAGATCATCAAGTCCAGCCCCCTGCCTTCACTAGTGATTGCTAGTAGCAAATATCCCCAACGGCCAGTGATGGGGCAGTAGATGCAGAGAGCTCTAAGTTACTGCAGAGAATTCAGTCTAGCTGTTGGGTATTGCCAAAATGATCAGGGTCTAACTAATCACCATATTTGGGGTCAGGAAGGACTTTTGCCATGGGTCAGATTGGCAGAGACCCTGAGTGATTTTCACCTTCCTCTCCAGCATGGGGCATGTGTCACTTGCAGATTTAAACTACTGTAAATGGAGGATTCTCTGTAATTTGAAGTCTTTAAATCATGATTTGAGACTTCAATAACTCAGCCAGAGGTTTTGGGTTTATTATAGGAGTGGGTGGGTGAAGTTCTGTGGCCTGCAATGTGTCAGACTAGATGATGGTCCCATCTGGCTTTAAAGTCTATGAGTTGTTAATACAAACTTATCCTCTCAGACTCATCCCATGAGGAATTTTTTCCAGTGATAGGTACAGACCCACTGCTGGGCAAGCTCTCACTACCACTGCCTGTCCTACAGTCCTTACTCAGGCCTAAAACCATAAACGTCAAGGAGAGTTTTGTCTAAATATCAACTTCAGGAATGGGGTCAAATAAGAAATGATGGTGTACAACCACAATTTAATAAAAATGCTCAGCAATGTGACTGTAAAGATGAGGGGGAGAGGCTGTACTGCATTAGAACTGACAACCTAGCTAGAGGACAATGGTGGCTTTAAGTCACACTGTGCCCTCCCAGTTTGGAGCTGTAGATGGAGTTGGTGAATTTCCTGGTGTATTAGAGCATCAGAGGCTGCCCCACAGCTTGGAATAGCACAGAATCTCCATAGTGCTCAGTGTACGGGGGTTCCCTTGACATGCTGTCTCATGCCTCCAGCCTCATCCTAGCATGCCTCCTGCTCCAGGGCCTCAATGCAGGCAGTGTAGAGATGCGTTTGGAAGCCCTAAGCAGGGCCTGAACCAGAGAAGTTCTTTGCCATCTGGCTGCAGTGTTTTTATGGCCCAGGGCAGTGTACAGGGGTCACTCAAAGTAAAGGGGATCTCTCTCTAGATCAGGAGTCGGCAACTTTTCAGAAGTGGTGTGCCGAGTCTTCATTTATTCACTCTAATTTAAGGTTTCGCGTGCCAGTAATACATTTTAACATTTTTAGAAGGTCTCTTTCTATAAGTCTATAATATATAACTAAACTATTGTTGTATGTAAAGTAAATAAGGTTTTTAAAATGTTTAAGAAGTTTCATGTAAAAT